ATCGACAAATTTTGTTCAGCGATGAGGCTCATTTCTGGTTGAATGGCTTCGTAAATAAGCAAAATTGCCGCATTTGGAGTGAAGAGCAACCAGAAGCCGTTCAAGAACTGCCCATGCATCCCGAAAAATGCACTGTTTGGTGTGGTTTGTACGCTGGTGGAATCATTGGACCGTATTTTTTCAAAGATGCTGTTGGACGCAACGTTACGGTGAATGGCGATCGCTATCGTTCGATGCTAACAAACTTTTTGTTGCCAAAAATGGAAGAACTGAACTTGGTTGACATGTGGTTTCAACAAGATGGCGCTACATGCCACACAGCTCGCGATTCTATGGCCATTTTGAGGGAAAACTTCGGAGAACAATTCATCTCAAGAAATGGACCGGTAAGTTGGCCACCAAGATCATGCGATTTGACGCCTTTAGACTATTTTTTGTGGGGCTACGTCAAGTCTAAAGTCTACAGAAATAAGCCAGCAACTATTCCAGCTTTGGAAGACAACATTTCCGAAGAAATTCGGGCTATTCCGGCCGAAATGCTCGAAAAAGTTGCCCAAAATTGGACTTTCCGAATGGACCACCTAAGACGCAGCCGCGGTCAACATTTAAATGAAATTATCTTCAAAAAGTAAATGTCATGGACCAATCTAACGTTTCAAATAAAGAACCGATGAGATTTTGCAAATTTTATGCGTTTTTTTTAAAAAAAAAGTTATCAAGCTCTTAAAAAATCACCCGTTATTTGCTTGCGGCACTCAGCTGGCGCGAGTATGTTAAGTGACACCTTTTGCAGTTGTTGCTGCAATATGCCGTTTGTCTCATTGAGACCCCAGCCTATAAGGAGCGTGGGCTCTTTAGTTTGAGCGAATTCTGTACAATCTTTTGCTTTAACAACTTTCACTAAATCTGTGCTATTGAGCTTAAGTGTTTTCTCCAACTTCAAAATTGCTATGTCGTGTATGGCTATAGTGTGGCTATATCCTTCATGCTTCTGTATCTTGCTGACGTTCATAAATTTTGCTTTACCCGATTTCAGTTGATTTGTGCCATATTGTACGACCAATTCTCGGGGGTCTTTGATGTACATAAAACAATGCGCAGCGGTGAGAATCCATTGGGGATGTATGATGGTGCCTGCACAAAAATGCTGCAAATTCCAGCGTTGGCGTAACGAAACCTGTTAGGGGTATAAACAAAATTTTAGAAAAATATGATCTGTAACTTTTTGACTAACTTCTACATATTTTTAAGAAAAGTCCAAAGTTAGAATTTGAGTACTTGGTCTTTGTTAATGTAAGAATGGTGGAATCGATAGCATCCTACTGTATCTACCATTTCTTGGAAGTAAAGTTTATTGAATTTTTATAATTTTGTACAAAATTTGTAATGTGGATTTATATGGCGCAGCTGGTTATACCGTGCCCTAACCGCCAAAATAACGTAAGCGACATTTTTTTTCAAAATTTTATTTTTGATGCAGAAATATTCCTAGAGCATCTAGATGCATTTCTGCATCAAAAATAAAATTTCGAAAAAAATGTCGCTTACGTTATTTTGGCGGTTAAAGCTCGATACAATGTGCGAGATTTTTATTAAAAAAATTAAAAAAATTAAAATAAACGAAAGAAAATTAGCCAAACCTGGTCAAAATTTCACTTAACTTAATCAGCTGGCCACAAGAGTACATAAGTTGTCGATTTACTGCCTGTAAGTAAGTCAGTTTACACCGATAAATGTTGTATATTAGTTAAGCTTTACTGTGATAACTCCTAACTAAACTCTATTCAAGAAGATATCGAGGCCTTATAATGTATTCAATACCCTCTATCTGCAAATTTCACTAAAACTACTTTCTGCTGTTAGAACCCATCTGGGACTTAACTGTCATCACTGGTGTTAATTCTTACTTTGCAATTTAATAGTAAAGTTGCACACGGAAATGGTGCAACGGAAATGGTTGGGGCTGAAACAAGTGCTTCTGGAGTGTATCCACTTGGTATCAATTTAACAAAAATTTGCTAATAAAAGGTTAAAAAATAACACTTAGAAAAAGACCAATACAAGAATGAAAGTAAAGGGGAGTACGTACATAGATAAAGAAAAGGCAGAGGCAAAAATCGCTTTTGTTATCGATTTTGTTATCGAAATTTTTATCGATATTGTTATCGATTTTGCTATCGATATCTTCGGAACCTATCGATATAATAATCGAAATTTTTATCGATTTTGTCATCGATGCTTTTAAGGATTTTGTAATCGATACTATTTATCGATATTGTTATTGGTTTTGTTATCGATATTGTTGCAGATTTTGTTATCGACATTTTTATCGAAGTTGTTATCGATATTTTTATCGATTTTGTTATCCATTTTGTATCGATTTTGTTATTGATTATTTATCGATATTTTAATCGCTTTTCTAAACGATTTTTGTCATCGATTTTGTTTTCTTTATTTTTATCGATTTTGCTATCGATATTTTTATCAATTTTGTTTTTGATAATTTTATCGATTTTCTAATCGATTTTGCTATCAATATTATTATCGATTTTGCTATAGAATTTGTCATCGATTTTGTTATCGACATTTTTATTGGTTTTGTTATCGATATTTTGTTGGATGTTACTATCGTTTTTGATATTGACAGAGTATAAGGATAAAAATGAAGATAAAAGAAAACAGAATAACATACATAAATGTAATTAGAAGGAACAGGGGTAGAGGTAGTGATATAGATAGTGTGACCCAGGCGCACTTACTTTTTTTTATGTATAATTTCCCGCAGATTGCGAACATGTCTTCAAAATATAAGAAACTAGAATAGTTTTAGAGATATAGCAAAATTTCGAATAATTGCTTAAAAATGCAAAAATGCAGTTTATCTTGATTAAATTTTTTATTTTTCCAAATGCGTATTTTTACAACGCTTTTCTTGAGCTAACTTGACTGAGCTATTCACATTTTATTCGCTTTAACTCTTAATTAATTTACTTCCAACTCCCTTCTTGCTTCGCACTATAATCAAATTCCCCGTTGTCAGTTCTTCCCATGACTCTTCACTCTCACTCCAATCGCCATCATCACGATCATTGCTCATCATCTGTCCCATCCAATCCACATAAGCCGATACTTCCGTAAAGACACCCGGATAAGGCGCCACAGTGCATGGCTTGCGACTCCACGAAACAATGCCCACCTGTTGGCCATCTACCAGCAGAGGACCACCCGAATCACCGCTACACTGACCCTTGCCACCCTCCGGCACACCGGCACAAATTGTGGTCGCATGCAATTGAGTGCCATGACGTTGGCTACACTCCTCATCGCTGAATATTTGTAAATGCACCTTTTGTAGTTGTTTTTGTATGATGCCGCCAGTCTGTGGAAGGGACAGAAATAATTATTAAAAACTATTTTTTTAAATGTTTTTGCCACTCACCGCATTCAGCCCCCAGCCAAGCAATACGGCAGGCAACGCGTCTGCTGTATCCTGTTGCGCTGCCGGCAAATGCACTGCACGCACTTTTGAACTAAATTTGATGGGTGTTTGCAGACGCAGCAGCGCAATGTCATTCAAATGCAAATTTCTGGGTTGATAATTATCATGCACTACTATTTTACTGATATTCGACACTTTGGGGCTAGCCGCATCCAATTCATTGCTGCCATATTGAATACTCAACTGTTCCGGTTGTATTTTCACGACACAATGTGCGGCCGTAAGCGCCCATGCACGATTTAGCAGCGAAGCGCCACACTTATGTTGACCATCGGAAGCGCGACGTAGGGAAACCTTTGCCGAACGAGTAAAAGAACTTGCGTTATCAACTTAAAGAAGGTAGGTAGGTAGCTGGCGTTCCAAGAGCTTATTCGATTATGCAAATGATTTTCTTTTATCGCAATCAACGTGTGCTTGGCTAAAACTTTGAAACGCTCTCTTAAATAAGTATTTTAATTAAACTCACCACAAATGGAAATTCGCCTTCGTTAGCCTGTGTGCCATTTACGATTCTCGAGTAAAACGCTTGACTCTGGCAAATTCCAATTAAAAGGCTCATAGCGTAAAAAAGTAGCAATCCACTGATTCGTGCCATGTTTGTGGAGATCGAATTATGACTGAATATCGAATATGACGAGCTTGGCGGTTAGAACTTGTTTATATTGCAACAAAAAAAGTGTTGCTGTCTGAGCTGCATTGCTGCGAATTTAGGTTAATTGCGGCACAATGGGGCGTAGTTGCGTATACTCGACCTTTGCCTGAATTGCATGGAAAACTGATAAGAATATATCGTTGGTTTTTTGTTTTTGTTTTTTGTTTTCATACATTACAAATGCACAACAGTGTAGAGTGGAAAACCAACTTCCAATGAATTTATTTATGTAGAATGCAACAAAAATGTTAAAGAATGTCTAAGCCATTTTATGTTGGCATACATAGTTAGATGTATACATATATACATATTTAGGTATGTACATATGTACACTCAGAACTAATAGATAAAAAAAAGTCGCAAATATTTAGTGTGAACAAAGCACAGTTAACGGTTGATGTACATATGTATGTGGTCTGAACTTGAAAACTTTCAAAATCAAGGCTAGTATTTAAAGCGCAAATTTAAACTCTTGCGGAAGTGCACATTAGGGTATTCACAGCAAAATTATAATTTATTTATTGATAGCCAATTGTCATCTATACAAAAAAAAAATAGCGTTAAATATAAAATATCCACCGTTGAAGTTAAAGATCTGAAAATTTTTGTACAGTGGCTTCCTAGGTGTTTCAAAATTGGAAGTAATATCATTTATTTTTATTTTTTCCTTCGCGAAATATATTTTAAAGAAACCTACATAACACCGCGCGACAAAAATCAAAAAATTTTGAAACACATGTAAAAATCAATATAAACACGACATCAGAGCCAAATATAGTAAAACTGCGTTTTTAGTTTTTCTCCCTCACGTCAGAATTTTTTTCAAAGGCCTTTGAAGTTTCAAGGATATGTGTACTAATTCAAAAAATTATTTAGAAAAATTCAGTACAATGTAGAATAATAAAGCGAAATTTCATACTTCCTTCACGGGGAGGAGATAAAATTCTTAATTTATTTAATAATAATCAAACAATAAATTTAAAATCTTGCTGTGAATATCTTTTAGAACAAATTCTCAAAATTATTTTTATCATCAGAGACATATTAAGTATTAAAACCACAAAAATTAGTATTAGCTGCATCCGTTCATCAATATATCTATATACATATGTAGTACTCTTATATAGCAAACATGGCTGCCATTTTGCAAAGTTTTAAGATAATGCTACAGCGCTATCCCGTTACACGAGGCATGGTCTCGTATAGCCTCATTTGGCCGACGAGTTCTCTGATACAACAGACTTTTGAGGGGAGAAGATGGCGTAATTATATTCTTAAAATTCCAAAAATTCTATTTTCCATTTATTTTTTTTTGGTTTATTCTATTTCATTTAATTATTTTTGGTTGTTTATTTTATTTTTTTATTCAATTTATTTCCACGCATTTAATTGTTTTGTTTCAGTTACATTTTATTTTATTTTGCTTTTCCGTTATTACTCATTTCATTTTATTTCTAATTTTATTTAGTTTTCGTATTATTTAATTAAAACTTTTATTTTGAATTACTCTATTTTATTTTCTTTTATTTCACTTTGTTTTATTTTATTTCATTTCCCTTTATTTAATTTTATTTAACTATATTATATAATGTAATATTATATTATGTTATATTTTATTTTATTAGTAAGTTGACTAGCAACATGACGGACGTGTAAAGTGTTTGCTCTGTTTCGGCATCAGTTATTCGCGGTATTTTCGTGTACTTAATACGGATAGTAATATACTCCGCCTGCCTGTGTGCTGGCGTTTCACCTGTGCTGAACTAAAAGCAAATTTACATTTGGACATCATCGTTTTCGCTTAATTTTAATTTTCTATACCTGCTTGGCAAGCTGTTGTTGCAGTTTCGAAGGTATGTCACCTGTTCCCCCTGCTGCCTCTAAGAGACACCTAAGAGACGCAAGTAAATGCTCTCCCTCTCCTAAAACGGTGAGACTTATCGATAGTGTTGACTCATTAACTGCTATTCGCGAACTTGAGTAGAAAATTCAACTTCAAACAGATAAACTGCAGTCACTCTTTGAAAGCCTCTCCAATAAAATAACGGTGGTTGAGAGCGCGTTGAGCACGAAGATCGCCGCTGAAGTTACTATTATCTCAACTAGGCTGAATGAGTCCGCTGAGCGGATCTCTGCGCTGGAAGCAAAAGAGCAGAAGTGTGAAGCAGAATTACTGAAATTGCGTGCTGAAATCGAGAAAGTTCAAACACAAAGAATTTCTCCCGACGTGTCTGCTGACGCGGTTGTTTTTGGCATACCGTATACCGAAGAAGAAAACTTAAAGAGTACGTTTAACCGTGTGTGTCTCTCTATTGATTTTCATGCTCCGCAAATTCGGGATATTTTTCGNAATAACGGTGGTTGAGAGCGCGTTGAGCACGAAGATCGCCGCTGAAGTTACTATTATCTCAACTAGGCTGAATGAGTCCGCTGAGCGGATCTCTGCGCTGGAAGCGAAAGAGCAGAAGTGTGAAGCAGAATTACTGAAATTGCGTGCTGAAATCGAGAAAGTTCAAACACAAAGAATTTCTCCCGACGTGTCTGCTGACGCGGTTGTTTTCGGCTTCCGTATACCGAAGAAGAAAACTTAAAGAGTACGTTTAACCGTGTGTGTCTCTCTATTGATTTTCATGCTCCGCAAATTCGGGATATTTTTCGTACTAAGGCTACCAATAATAATCTGAGCGGTGTGGTTATCATTAAGTTCCATTCTCCACTGGACCGCAAAAGAACACTTCGCGCATTTAGTGACTACAGAAAACAAACTAAGGATGTAGTTTCTGTTTCTGTTGCAGGCCTCGAAGGGAAATTTTCTATTTTTGAGAGTTTGACCACAGAAACGAGGAAATTATTGCAAGAGGCCATACGATTGAAAAGAGCGGGGAAGCTGCTGTCTGTATTTACGTTGCGAGGTGCTGTCTATGTCAGAGTTGACAAAGGTTCGTCAGCTATTAAAATTGATGAACGTAATGACTTGCAGAGGTTTTCNATAATGACTTGCAGAGGTTCTCTTGCTAATCTGTGTTCTTTTTCTTTTATTCTATATTCTTTTATTCTTAGCTTAAGTATGTTTAGTGTTTTGCTAGCATTTGTAAAGATGGTTCATAGTGTTATTGCGCTTCTTACTATATTTATTAGTTCTTATTCATACCTTGAAGTTGCTTTTGTTCACTTGCTTTATGGTGTCTAACAGCAAGATCAATAGCATTGATGATAATAGTCGCATTATGTTAAATGTTCTATGTAATCAACAGATAGGGCTTAATATCGTCCATTTCAATGCTAGAAGCTTAAACAACACAAAAATGGATTATGTTAGATATGTGTTTNCATTATGTTAGATATGTGCAGTCAAACTTGATCCTTCTCTCCCCTCTGGTAAATTATGGCGGAACATTAAAAATCTCCAGGTACATGCCAAGGACAGAACTGAGTGTATGTTAGATGTTGAAAGTCTGAATGATGTGTTTCTTTGTAGTGCCTCGTCTAATGGTTGTATGTCACAATTCGCCCCAAATCCTACGTCGACTACGTATTCGAGCGTACCTTTTGAATTTTCCTCCGTATCTGAATGTGATGTGACTAGATGCATCCTCAAAATTAACTCAAATGCGGTTGGCGAGGATGGTCTGCCNGAATGCGAGGATGGTCTGCCAATCCGATTTATCAAGTTAGTTATGCCGTTCATCATAAGTCCACTGACACACATCATTAACCACTGTTTTACCACGTCTTGTTTTCCAACGTTATGGAAATCCGCTTCCATTTGTCCAGTTGCTAAAATCAAACAAGCATGCTCACCTTGTGATTTTCGTCCAATTAGTGTTTTGCCTGCCTTGAGTCCCTAATGTCAGAGCAAATCATGTCAGATATGTCCGAAAAGAACTTGTTATCTCCTTTTCAATCAGGTTTTAGAGCAGGGCATGGTTGTTCAACTGCGATAGTAAAAATTCTTGACGATTTGCGANCTTACTTACTTGACTTTTCCAAAGCATTTGACTCCGTAGATCACACACTGCTCTGCTCTAAGCTTTCGTATTATTTCGGGTTCGGTAAAACTGCACTATATCTTATGAAAAGCTACCTAACAGGTAGAACCCAGCTTGTGAAGGTTGGTTCAGTAACCTCTAGAACTAAATCCGTAACACGCGGTGTTCCTCAGGGGTCTATTTTGGGCCCCTTGTTATTTAGTGCTTTCATAAATGACATATTCATGACATGCCAATATGTAAAAATGCATGCATATGCCGATGACATCCAGATATATTTATCAGGTCCGTCAAGAGATTTGCACAGACTCACATCTGATTTGAATATGGACTTATCATCTATCTCGCATTGGGCTGCTCTTAACGGCCTTTCCATTAACCCTGCGAAGTCGTATGTTCTACCTGTTTTTAAGACAAAAGTCCCTTTTAGCAGTATTCCTTCAGTTTTTCTTGAAACCAGACCCCTAAAATTTATTGATAAAGTAACCAATTTGGGGTTTGTTATCAATTCTAGCCTTAGCTGCGTTGATCACGTTGATTCTGTTGTGAACAAAGTATATGGTATTCTAAGAAAACTTAAGGCTATCGGCATCGTTTGTTCCGATTCCCACTAGAAGAAAGCTTGCGCGTCAATTAATCTTACCTATTATTACTTATGCAGAGGTGGTATATAGTAAGCTTGACTCCAGGTCATCCCATAAGATTGGCACCTTATTTAACCAAATCACACGTTATGTATATGGATTGCGGAAGTATGACCATATATCTGCGTGGAGATGTAGCTTGTTAGGATGTGATATCACTGATTATCTAAAAGCAAGAAACTGCATCTTTCTCTTTAAACTCATCAGCACAAAGACCCCTCTTTATCTTTATGAGAAATTAATTTTTCCAAAGTCTGAGCGTTCCTGTGATCT